GGGTTCTTCCGCCCCCAAGTCCATGTGGTACTGAACAAGTACTTCACGTGGTAGGAGAATTTTCGGCTTTGCCCTAGACAACTTTTCTACGACTGTTGGTCAATGGATGCATCCCGAGGAAAAAAGGCGATTCCCGTTTCCGAATCACTGTGCGCCTCATGCTACTGGTGGGGCTCAAGCTGCTTGCCAAATGGATGCATTTCAGTTGCTTCATGGGTATCTTCAGCGGGCATGTGCCATCGACGGGAGCGGACGCACGTCGGTATGTCATGCAGGTGTCGTTTCGTCAGCTAAATCGGGGCACTTAAGGCGTGTCTTCATCAGCCGGTGCCCTATGCAGTGCAAAATCGACCAGGCGACCATATGGGGCACACAACGGGTGTCTGGTCTAGTGCCTCCCGTTATTTTGGGTCGTTGAAAGAGCTGATTCTACGGCATACTACATGCAGAGAGGAGGAAACAAGTCTTGCTTGTGGTTCTCTTGTCAAGCAGGGTTGAGTAAGACTGGCCCAGTCTTCATTGGCCTATGCGCGTTGTTGCTCATGCAAACTGGGGTATGATACGGGGTTTCCTTTGCCCGAGACATTAGTACTCCTTGGACAGAGATACGATGAAAACGATGATTGTGTGCCGACATCCATAGAAAATTTGGGTAAAAGCAATATGATGAGCGTCCCAAAGCCGACGCGACTGCGACGGAAACACTAGAGATTGGCGAATAGGCTTCGAGTTGTTGCGTATCTCCAGAGCTGGGCAGCAAGCAAGGTTAGGTCTGGCAGGTCGACATGGAAGGTGTAGCGACGGCGGGGTGACTCCAGTCTACTTCGTCGCGTGCCGATGGTAAGTCTCCTGGACCCGAGCACCCGGGATCTCAGGGGCAGGCTTCCCAGAGCGACTCTTTGACGCGGCGCTACAAGCGGAGCACGCTAAATGGGGCGACTCCATCAAAGGGGAAGAGCCGAATGGCTGGGGATGTGTTCATCGCAGCCGGAGACTAAAGTGGGAACCAGGAGAATGGCTGGTTCAGATCCGATGGGATGTCGAGTAATAGCTCCTTGAGCTGTCAAGACCAGGGACGAGCCCCCATTGCCCCCCTTCAAGAAATTGGGCCACAGTCAGATCAGGGATACGCCCATGTAGCTCGAGCTGGGGGCGAATCTCGAGTCAATGGGTCGCCGGTTTCAGAAGTTTTCTCGGGTTTGCCGGTCAGCCATTGGGAATCCTGACATCGCTGGTAGTCTCTGCCCCCCCCCGGCCAGCTGGAACGCATCAGCAAGTCTTCTTCGGCTTCTCCAGGTGTTCTGTCCCACTTCCTGATCGAGACAGAGAAGAGGGTCTGTGTACCTACCTTGAGTACTACTTACTACCTGTACATTTTCTGGTACCCCGTCGTCCGCAACAGAACGAAACTTGAAATGCGCACACCATTATTCTACTGACCTTGGCGTTCACTTCTCTAATTTACGAGTGACAACGGCAATAGCTGCAATAGCCGACTGCACGCCCTTGAATGTCAGAAAGCCAGACGAACGTACCAGCATTGCTGTTTCGCGAATTGTTGAAGAACGAATCAGACTGTGATACACTGTGCTGTAGAGATTGCCAGGGCGCACAGCAGCGCAAATCATGGGCAAGCGCTAGGCGGAGTCCTCCACCCAACCCCTGCGAACTCAATTCGAGGGGTTGTGGACATTGGAATCACACCTCGATGTGTAAGTCTGTCTGTCATTCGCAGTCACCCTTCATCACGGGGAACCGAGCCGCCAAGGTGGATCGAATGAACTGTTGGGTCGCCAGCAGTCAGGGTGGCTCATAATGACGATCACCACGGTCTTCAAACTCAGCGCGGGGTGACTGGTCTTGATGCCTTGTTTCGTTATTCGGCCGGATGTAACGTATAGACGAGTAAACCGGACTCCTTCCCAGCAATGCTGTCGTGGGCGACGGACGTGGCTGAGGACGGGGGCCTTAAGAGGGGCGAAATTTCGCCTGGGCGCATGATATTTCTTCTGAAGGTACAGGTAGGGGGAATGAGAGGGAACGAAGGCTGGACTCATTGATCGGTGTGGCATCGGCCACCCTTGATTTCTTTCGGCTTGATGGCCAGGCCAAGAAAAGCAAGGAGGCGAGAGATGTCAAGCAGAGCGATGCTTTTTCTCGCCCCCTTCCCCCTCATCCCTCTTGTCTCGGAATCTGAACGGAGAATTGTGAAATGAGGAATGTGAACCGCTCAAAAGCTGCAGAAAGTTTACGCTTGGACTTAACTCTTGCAGGAGACCAAGGCGGGCAGACCAAGGCGGGCAGACCAAGGTTTGGCATTCGGTGCTGGTGAGTCGATTTGGGGATCGAGCTTCTGATGATGCTAGAATGGCGGACGCACAATCTTGTTGGTAGTTTCTTCTGTGCTTGGTCTACCCTTCGCCCCTGACTTCGCTTGCTGCTTTGCCTTCCCATGTCGCTCCTCTCCTTGCTTCTTACTTTCTGAACTGAGGTAATGCATTAGGCCGAAAGTACTTTCCTTGCCTCCAAGCCTCCAATGCCTCCTTCTTTTGGTCGGGTGACGGACAGACACTACGGTGTAGACTGGGTCGCTCATACCTTCCTTGCCCTCTCCCGGCCTACATGCTAATGCGCTCACCATCTTGGACTCGGACTTCTCCACCATCTATCTTCTTGCTTTTCCTCGATTCCAACCTTCAGGCCGTTTCTCCCTTTCCACCGAAATTTTGCGCAACATGGTCGTCCAGGAATGCAAGCTGCAATGCAACAAGAAACGCATCAATCGCCGGTCTGGAACTTGAGTAGCCCACAGTCCGACCATTGCCCGCCGATGACAGAGTTCAATGACGATGCACCAAGCCGGCTCGCACCTCGATCCTGCCAGGCCGACCAGATCTGCCACTTGATACATGGCTGCATTTGGTTCCGAGGCCCCCAGGTCCAAGACTAGGCCCGGCTGAGAATCTTACCGCCTAGCCTCCACGAGGCTTCGTGCGAGACCCGGCCGTCCGTCAGTTGCCATCAACCGTGAGGCAGTGATTCTGTTGAATTGGCCGATCTATGACTGCAACGACACGGCATTCCACCTAGTCTCATCTACATGGTAAGCAGAGCGCATGTAAGCTGATTCGATCATCACAATTTGACAGTGGTAACGTGGCGCTTCTCGCAATCACAGTCCGCGCACGAGCCGCATCAACGTGGGCGTGCACCCATCATCACACGGCATCCTCGACTGTGACTATTGTGTCAACTCGAGCACTATGTCCGCGATTTATCGGCGGCACGTTGCCCTGTCTTCAGATTCGTCACCAACCAGTCTGACACCCTAAGAATCTCACTACCCGAATGGCATGCCAAACTCCATCCTTCTCCACCTATCCCTGGACGCGGATGACATTCAAATCCGACCGTCTCATCCCTTGCAGCCTTACTAGACCGCCGGGACGCCTTGAGGCCAGCCCAGCCGTGGCAACCCACTCCAGTCCTTGTGGTCATGCGTGCTCAAAGGAGACTTTCTGTGCACTCCATCGAGTGGTGGAACTTGCCAGCTCTCGGGAGCAGCTATCGTTAATGCCCATCGAACTCAGGTCATCTCGCATCTGACAACCCATGCACAACGACTTATCAGGTTCTTTTGTGGTGTTACACAATCTGTCTGCGTTATCTGCGCAATTTTTGGTAAAGAGCAATTTTTGTTCTTTCACCTGGTAGTGCCGTAGTTTGTTTCATGCAGCGCCGTTCGCCTCCCTAATTCCATGGGAAGAATCAGGTATCGGATCAGTGGCCCTACGTGTCGCATTTCAGTGGCCTTGCAAGTCCTGTGATCAAAGAAACCCTGCCAAGCGCATATACAGCGCGGCTGCTGCAGTGTTAAGCAGCATCCTGCGACATCACACACTGCCCATGGCCATGTCGTGATTCGCAGACGCCAAGCATCGCATCGCAGGATGCGGACCAGATGACTCGGACTAAGAGTTCCACTGTTACGTGGCGTGTCCAGCGTTCGACACCAAGGCAGAGGACAAAGATGACGGCCAATCTGGTCCAAGTCATGCTCAGGTCGCTTTAGGCACCTAGTGACAACGAAGGCCTGCCAAAGGCGAACAACGGGGCCGGGTGTCGAAACGGCCTCAGTTGATCACCAGATTGCATGCTGTGTAATGAGGCCTGCAGAAGAGTACGATCGTCACTTTATCAATCGCAAAACCCGAGGACATCTGGAAAGTCACCAGACGGGTCAGCATCCGACAAGACTGGAATATGTCGGACCATTCGAGATTCTTGAACAGGCATGAATGGCTTGGCTGGTCATGTGTACGTACACGTACTAGGGTTCCAACCACTGGCTCAAACGGTGGTCGGCCCTTGCTCGACTGACGCTGACAGCCTAGCGCATGACTTCCGCTGCAAAGGTGCCATGATGAGGCTGCAGTGATACTCGGCGAAGACAGGGGCCTGCGGCTGCCCTGACCGAGATCTGCAATTCATGGTTGGGGGCGCTTCTCGGTCAGTATGGGTGTCGTCGAACGTGATGCTCCTGAACCAATATTCTTCACGCTAGCTCAGGTGGATGGTTTCTACCTCGTTTTGTTCGCTGCGCCGCGGATACCAAGACCCTCGATGTCAGTGCGCATCGTTGTGTTTCCTGTTGTGCTACAGCGAGGCCACTAGTAATGATGCAGCTGCTGCACGACGGATGGCCTGGCGGTGTCATGTTTTTGGAGGATGAGGTCTCTCACCAAGTCAATAAATTCCGCCTGCATTCAAAAGCTGTGCCTCACGCTACTAGCACGAGCTGTTGGTGTGGAGATACCATGTCAGAATCCGACTGTTTGCTTAATTGCCTGAGGCACCTTGTCCAAACATTTGCCAAGTAACAGTGCTAGTACTCTGCAATCTAGGTGTTTGAGGAGGCTGGGCTGATGGATATTGAATAGATGATCAGGATTTGTTTCGGTGCGATCAAAACGCAAAAAGATAGGATCGATTTCCTCTAGTGACCACAGCAGGGCTCGAACCTGCAATCTCCTGATTCGTAGTCAGACGCCTTGCCATTGGGCCATGCGGCCGGTGATGTCGTAGAGCCAAATTTGAATAGTATATATTACTAGCATCAATACGGGTGTCTGCGTATTCGGCCGCTTTCGTCAAAAGAACGTGGAGATATGGAACGAACGGAGTCACATCACCAGCGTCGTCTTGATTCTTGAGGTGATTTAAGTGGGACAGGGAAACGCCAGAAGAGACGGTCTGGGCTCATTGCGCTTTGTAGACTTGCATATCAGTATGTTCCTCGATGTCTTTGTAGAGATGAGACGAGGCACGTCGTGATTAGTCCCGCCGGACAGCTGTGATGTGCGTGCCTCATTCGAGATGTTGCTAGTCAGCTCTCCGCTCTATATCCTTGTCGTGCCCATGCTTTCATCCATTGGGATGCCAGTTGACAGCTCCTGACTGAAAGCATACTCTTCATCCAGACCCTGAGAGAACATCGGATCCAGTTCGGGGAGATAGTAATTAAAGATGCCCATGACGTCTGTGCCCATCGTCGCGTTCGATGGCGTGTAGTCAGGGAACCCGTTGAATGCCATGCTGAAATCAGGCAGCTCGGCTGAAGCAACATTACCCACGTCCTTTTTTCCGCAGAAAGTCAGCTTTCCCATTATCGAATGCCAGTGCCCGAAAACGCATTGCTATACTTACGGACGGGATGCTCTCCTTCGGCCCTACCTTGGGAGCGTTTGCCATGGCTTGGACCTGTGCAGCCCCTTGTTGTGGCTGCGGTACATTGATAATGTCCGGTAACGTCTGGGCCTGCGTTGCTCTGGCCTCCTGCTTTAGATGGGCGTCGTTGACGTACTCGCGCGCGATGTGCGCAAACTCAGAGATGAGAGATCCGGGTAGGTATCCCTGGCTGCGGTATTCGATGCGGCTGAAATGACCTCCAGCCATGTCGAGCAAGGCCAAGTGGGATGGCGTGTTGACGTGGAGCGGACTGTGAATGACGAAATCAAAGACCACGAAAAGCCCTATGATAGGTATACCTGCGAGGATCCTGCATGGTGACAAGAGTCGACGTCGTCAGCATGCGTGCATTGGAGTCGTCTTTGCAAGTTTCCCCAAACAGGAGGCGAGTCTCACCATATACTAGTGTGAGAATCGACGTTGACCAAGACAGTTCTCTCAAGGACGGAACGTGAAGCGCTGAGAACTGCCTCCATGGTGGCTTTCTGCTGCGCGGCGATGAGAGGGTCGTCTGCCCTGGACAACCGGGACAGCCGGTGCAGCGTAGCCCGGGCCAAGGTGAGTTGCAGACCATCGTGGTAGTAGTGAATCATGACTGCTGCCTCTCTTTCAACGCCGCAGTGAATGCTTGAGGGCGGTTTAAGTCCGCCAGGCCGAAACCCAGTGTCAGGTATTGACATGCGCCAGTCGTCGTGCTTCTGATTCAGTTGACCAATGATGTCCATGTAATACGCGTTTGGTTTGTTGGCAACGGCGACCGAAAAGAGTGAGGAGTATGTTTGTGATATGATTCGCGCATGGCGTATGATTGATAAAAACCAGTCAAAGTCGCCGAAGACTGATTCGGGGACATGGGGGATGGGACACGATATGTCGCCGTCGATAAAGGCCTGCAGAAGTCAGTACTGCCACCAGGAAACACCACATAATCGTGACCGGGACAGTCTCAAACTCACTGAACTTCTTCCAAAGTAGAAGCTAGATGTCTTCTCAATGGCATACAGACACCAGAAGGTTCTCTGGTACGCTTTCGCCCTCGGACCCGATAAGTTGCTGGTTGATAAGTTTTGTGCCCGCCTCGCAGCCTCCGACGTAACGACATGCTCCAGCATCACGCATGAAATACCCGAGCATTGAATTGCCATGGCAGCCATGGCTTGTAGAACTAGGAGAGAGTCCGGCTGAAGCATAAGATCGGGCAACAGGCTCAGCGCAACGAAAAATAGGTTCCAAGCGTCTCCGACGCCGGGCTCAAAACTGCCCCCACCATCGCATTGGCATCCCATTGCTAGAACCGAATGGTACAAGCATGACCAAGCCTTACTCTGGTTGACAATCTCGAAGAAGTCTGGGTTTGCGAAAGTGCGCTCGAATGCCTCGCGATCCAGAAATGGGTACAAGGGATGGACACATTCAAAATAAACTATCACATGTCAGCGTGTTTATCTTGCCCGCCTTGGGGTATGGGGCAAGTATACGTCGAATGTACTTCGTAGCGGCGGCTCTGTTTGTGAACGGTTTAAGTGGCTGTTTGTGCCTGGCAAGCCAAGCATTGGGAGCCGGAGGCGGGCGGTGCACTTTCGTCTGTATGATACCCGAAATCCGACCTACCAGTTCATTGACTTTATTGTTCCGCAAGCATGAAGCAAGAGACTGCAGTCTGGTTTCGGAAAAGAATGTAAGAGAGTGATCGCCGGCTGGCGGTCATGTTTGTTAGCCGACTGAAAACGCGGCAAATGCTCGAGATGAGCTTACCAAAAATGCCATTTCCCTGCGAGATGTTAGCAACCTTGGGGAGTTTCCGTGCATGGAACGTACCCTTATGAATGGTGGAGTCTCATCGCCCGCTTCGGATGGACTGGCTTTGCTGGAGCGGGTGAGCAAGCTGTCAACGTGCAAAACGGGCAGTTGATGCTGCTTGTTGGCTTCTGATGAGGGAGTGTTTGACACTGGATCTTCTGAGAAGAAATCTGGCTGCAGGGATGATATGGCAGCTGGATTTGCCTCATTGATGTCAATTCCTGGTGTGCTTGATTTTGACTTTGGTGTTGGCTTAGGGGACAAGAATTGCTCCGACACTATCTGTGGTTAGCCGAAAGTGAAGCAACAGTGGCAAGCTGCACGAGGTGACGGTCCGCATACCATTCTTTCGCCGAGCAAGCTTCTTCGAGCTGAAATGACAGGGTTTATCCCGCCGCTGTATTGAGTAGCACTTGTGAGCAGACGTGCATTGAACTACCGACGGAGGGATCGGAAACCTGGGTTCACACGTACAACGCAGGTCGCGCAAGGTCCGAAATCCGGCTTGGCCGGGCCTGTGCTGGAGTCAACAAGGTCATGGTTCACCACGAGGAAGCTCCGCCCATTATGAGGATAGTGTATACCGGGACATCGGACTTTGCGTATACGGCACGCGTCGCATGATTTGTGGTTTTGCTTTCCAAAGCCGAGGGTTACCATCTGTCGCGGGGTCATCTGGTCGGACTCGGCGTCGGTCTGTGAGACCATACTGTTGACGACGAGGACGTTCTCGGAGGACAACTCAATGGATCAGTTTGGCGTTCACCAGTCTTGAGATATTGACAGGATGGTTATCAGGTTACTGGAAGAGAAACGTTCGAGTTCGCGACGGTCGATGTGAAGATCAATATGATGAGTTGAGTGAGCTTGGGCCTTACACGCCAAACCTCGGGCCCGACATGCCCGATCCGGCAATGCCTGCCACTAAACTTGCCGAGAGGCTGCGCCATCACGAAGAGTGAACTCCTGAGGCTGCCAACTTTAGCCTCTTGTTGTCTCGGGAAGACGGCGTGACTTCAAGCCATGACGATACAATTTTTCAACCCTTTCTCTCACGTCATGGTCATCCATCAACTCGGGGCTTCGACTGTATGTAGCGAGGCGGACCCAACGTTAGTAGTGTGATGTGGAACTTTTCACCATTTTCTTACGTTTCAGAGGCGAGTAAGTTGTGTTTTCGAAAGCGAAATGCGAGACTCCGGATTATCTCCACAGCGGCACAATGCTTTCTTTCTTTCTGCTTTCCCTCGTGGCCAAGCCTGACGTCGGCGGCGACTGCCATTTCAATAGAGCATTTAGAGGGGCAAAGACAGTGCGGCGCATTGTCCATACACAGTCTCCACTAGGTGTGACAGCAGCCCAACCAGAGAGGCCGTCTGCCATTTGAGGAGCTCGCTATGATTTGTTCAGAACCCACACGACTGCTCCGGCGTGACTCTTCCTGAACAACAGTTCAAGCAAACCTAGGCTTAGAGGACACGACATTTTCTGACGACAAGTCCCCAGCGTTGAATTTCTGCCGACTGGTCTCATCACATCGTCAGACGATCTACTATCGACGACCGCAACCATGGCCGGGAAGAAGGGCGCCGAGAACAGCAAGAAGGTTGCGGGCAACGCCCGTAAAGCCGAAGCCGCCGCAGCCAAGGATGCTGCCAGCAACGCGAAGAAGGCTGCCATCGAGGATGCCGAATGGGCAAAGGGCGGCAAGGATGGCTCCAAGAAGTAAGCAGAACCCTCCAGGGTCCCTGGTAATGCCCCAGGGGACCAGGTCGCCACCGTGACCGCCACAACGGCTCGCCCAAAGCCCAGCTCGAGCCGTGACCGAGTGGGTGGTAGCGATGAGCTCTGTCACCTTTGATGCCACCAGGCGCTGATACTTGTAAACCGCACAGGGAAGCCGAAGCGGCGAAGAAGGCCGAGGCTGCACGAAAGAAGGCCGAGCGCGAGGCGGCACTGAAGGAGGAGGAGGCCAACACCCCCGGTCGCAACACACCCAAGAACAACAAGACGGCCACGAAGAAGACGCGCGGGCTGGATCTCTCACAGCTCGACGGCGACAGCAGCAGCAAGGCCGCAACGCTCAACGCTTCGGGCATTGACAATGCGCTTGATGCCTTGTCGCTCACGGGCAAGACTGACAGCGGCAAGATTGACAAGCACCCCGAGAGGCGCTTCAAGGCTGCGTACGCCGCCTTCGAGGAGCGGAGGCTGCAGGAGATGGAGAGCGACGGCAGCGGTCAGGGCTTGCGGCTCAATCAGAAAAAGGATAAGGTGCGCAAGGAGTTTGAGAAGAGCCCCGAGAACCCCTTCAACCAGGTCACGGCGCGGTTCGACGCGACCAAGGAGGAGATCGCCGAGATCAAGAAGAACGAGAGGACCAAGATCGAGAACCGCCTGGGCGCGTAAAGCGAGAACAGGATCCAGCACGGCTTGCCAGTGGAGGCAAAAGAGAAAGAAGGGGGGTCTGATCCTTTGGAAACATGGCGTTCTTGATGGGCTAGAAGCGGCATGTTGCAGCCGTCGTGAGTAGCTGTCGTCCAGGAGCGAGGCGTGCCGGATGAACAGGAGATGCCGGATTTATCTTATAGCCCTGAAACACATACCACCGCCTGACTGGGCCAGTCAAGCCCATGGATCAACGCAACTTGACGAATACGGAGGCTGATTTTAACGAGATGAAATGCTCCATCGCCAATGATCTGCCTGGGGATTTCCCATGTTCACAGTCGAGGCAAGCAGTTCACGGCGGTCACACTTGCGACAGGTCACTTCAATAGTGTACCAGTTGATGACCACATGGAGAAATCCTGGTATTCAGCGGTACTTGTCCGTCAAGTACCAATAATCCTGGGTGTTGACCGCTTGCTCCGCCTAGGGCCACTCGGATCCGAGCCCACCTCACCAGGGGGTGGAGGTTGCCAGGACTCGTCAGTCCATCGACTACCCCGCCTCTCGAAAGCATGCACTGTGCACAACCCCGCCACGTCATTTTGCATTGTGATAGCGATAACAGAGGCGGCAGAAATTCACCGCCAGGTTTCACCGCCCATGCATTCCTGGGTCAGGTACCTGAAGCCTACAGACCTGATCTCAGGTCGATTGTGTCTAAACTGCAGCCAACAACACTTCTCTTATCGTGTTCCTTTGAACCCCCTCGTGCTCTGATACGACGAGCGATGTGAGAGCCTCATTGATGTCTTGAAACTTGAAAGCATGCCATCGATCAATCTCAGCGGCTTGCCGTCGCTAAAACGGCAACACCTTCTGGCTGAATTGTACGTGTACTCTCTCCAATTGCCCAGACGAGCCCCTGAAGCGAGCTTGAGGCTGACCTCACATCAGCTCCGGCCTCAAACAGGCGTGCCCGGAAGGCATCTTTGTCAGTCTCACACCGGGCGAAGTCACATTATGGTCTGGTGCCATGTTCATCAGGAGAGGTGCGCCATCGATGCGATCCCTGAGCCCCCGGACAGCCACGTCTGACCACATACCAGGACCCTATGAAAACGCCATCCTACGATTTCAGATTTCTTTTCCAGACACTTATCCACGCCTGCCACCCCTTGTCACATTCTCCTCAGACATGTTCCATCCACTCATTGCTCCTCTCACCACCTACATGTACACAACCGACATTCAGGACAATGGAACCGTCAGTGCCACCGACGACGAACGCCTCCCGCCCGGGGGCTTCTCGCTCCGCCACGGCTTTCCCGGCTGGTTCGGGAGGAGGGGCCGTAGCAACACCGCCCACGCTAGAAAGGTCAGCGGCGGGCAGCAGCCTCCAGCCACGCCGGCCAAGGGTGGCAGCAGCAGCGCCATTACGACCCCAGACTCAAGAGCCACTGCAGGCCCCACTACTGCGAGTGGCAGCAGCATATCAACCTACGAGGTCCTGCAGTACATTCGCAGCACGTTCGACGATGAAGCTGTGCTTGACTCAGTACCGCTGGAGGCTGCGGGGAACCCTGGTGCCTGGCACGCGTGGCGTACTCGTCAGCGGCAGAGGGTAAAGCTGAGCGACAGCGCCGCTCCCCCTGCCAATGCTTCTGTGCCCAAGGTAGACGGCGAAAACACAGAGGCTGAGCCTGAAGCAGAAGGGGCCGAGAAGGGTTACGAAAAGGAGGAACCGCCGGCTAAAGAAGGAGCAGAGACCGCTGCTGCAGCTGTGCCACCGCCGGCACCGACCATGTCATCAAGAGACCCGGGGCAGTGGAATTGGGCTGGTGTTTGGGAGGACAGGGTCAAGAAAGGGATCGCTGCTTCGCTTTCTGAGCCGGTCTTGTACGGCGGAGCAGCTGCCGGAGATGATTTAGTAAGTAATGACGCTCCACGAGAAGTTGCAGGCAAGAGCGCTAACGTGCTTTCCAGATTCACTTTCTGTCGATGGAAGAAAATGACGTTGGGGTCGTCAAGGACAACTTGCTGCGCACCTTGGGAAGTACTGCCTGAAATTTTAATACCCGCCCTCCGGGCAGCACCTACTTGTACTTGAATCACTACCTGCCTACCTAGGTAGGTACCTAGCCAATGAAGTTTGCGTTGTCTCTGTATGGGGTCGGCAACCCGACTTGAATGTCATGCTAACATCAGAAACATTGACAACACGAGCTCAGAGCAGCCCTCCTGACATTTGAGCAGGCCCCCGTATCACGTTTTTCATCTTTCTTAAGGGCAGCAATTAGGCCAAGCAAGCATGGAAGGTCATGATCTCGACCCTACTTCCACCTCGAATGAGCCGGCGCCGCTTCGAGTGATCAAGCGCCAGTCAAGACGGATTCGAGGGAGCGATGCCACCAGCGAGTATGGCAGCACGCGCTCCCGGCGAACCAGCGGGCAGACTGAGGAGAGCATTGGAAGCGCTCCCGGGCTACCGGGCTGGGATCGTCCTCTGACCGTGAGGAAGAAGCGGCAATCCGTTTTCACGTCGTCCTACTCTTCGAGCCCTCCAATTCGAGCTCTTCGGCCAGAGCGTTCTTACATGATGCTTCCGCACACGAGAGAACAAATCTCTTCCAAGATTCATTCCAACGGCGGCATGTCAAGTCTGAAGTACCCCTCGCCCATCAAAGAAATGCCGGATTCAGTGCTCCCCGATGGGATGGACGGATACCTTTCCCCAGCGCATCATTCTTCCTACGACAAGAATGAAAGTGTTTCGCAATCTCCATGTCCCATGGAATATAGCAATGCGTATCATGCGCCCATCTATCAAGATGCTCATGTGCTCGTGCCGCATATATCGATTACACCCGAGGCTCGGAAATGGGATAACAGCGGTGACGTGCTGTGGACTGCGATCGAGATCACCGGCCAAGTTCGCCAGTCGTCGAACTCACAGCCTGCATTTTCTCAATATGTGGGCTGCGAAGGCATTGCCCTCCCAGGTAGGTATCACCATCTCGTGTTCAATACTTGGCATGGATATCTCACGCAGATAGATCCCTTCCGTTACGGCCTACTATTCGATATTCGCATCAACATACAGCCGCTCAGGGGAGCATTCGTCACTGAGCTTTTACAAGACGACCCCATACCAACGCACGTCACCCTTCTCTGATAGCAAGTCTTGGTAGAGAGGCTATGCTAATTCTCTACTGTAGAACACTTTATGCTGGCTCAACTATTCTCATTCTCGCCCACATACGCCTCAAGTCACAGCCCGCGAGCATAGCATCTTCAATGTCTGCTTCTCGTCAGCAATCAGATGATCTCATGGATGACCTCGAGTTTCACCTCGACAGCTCCGTAAGGGACCACCTCTCAATCAATCTCACATACGCCCATACGGCTTTCCCCCAACATTCTCGCTTGTCAGCATCGTTTGACAGGACAGGTATCACGTCTGTTCACACCCGCATGGGAACCACGGCGACGGCTTCGCTGAAGCGCCCTGCCCATCGCTCGTCGTGGAGTTCGCACCCGGTTCTGACCCCAAACCCCCTCTTTAACATTATCACGGCCAACTGGCCGCCAGACCGCGCCGCCCATGCCATCAATCGCATGCTCACTTGCCGTGCAGCGAGACGGTGCTCCGACCCTCGTAGACAGTGCAGCATCCAAATTGGGTGTCTTCCTGACGGTAGACGCAGCCCGAGCACACCGGACGAGTTGTGTGACGGACGAAAGACGGCACCGCCTGTCCAAATGCGGATCCCACGTCGCGAAACCAGCTTGACGAACAACGCGCCCGGCAGACGGCCGGAGCAGACGCGAGTCTTGTCGCCCAATGTGCGCAGGTCGTCCAGGGAGGACACTGATGGTGATGCGCAGTTGGCCGGCGGGGAACAGGACTCGTCGGCCAATGCTGCGTGGCCTTCGGATCTGACCCTTCGAAATCGGGCGTCGACGGCTGGCAACACTGTTGCGACAAGTTCACCAAGTGCGATTTTGGCTTCAGCCTCGTCTGCAGGAGGTTATGCGGAAAACCAGAGTTGTCGGGAGTCAGCGAAGGGCGTGAGGGCCCGCAAAGGAGGGCAGACGCTGGCGAGAAGGGGCAGCGAAAGAGGGAGAAATGACGGTGGGCGGTGGAACTGGTCGAACTGGTGGTGATGTCTACAGTGCTTTGGCAAGGTACGCCTGGTGCCATGGCAGGTTGGCGAACGAGCATAGCCACTTCTGGTAACCATGCCCTTGGATGAGAGACCTCATCAATAAAATTGAATGGATAAATCTTGCGTTATGTTTTCCTTGAGCCTGACTACCTGGCGCCGATGGGTGCTCGTAAGCGGAATCCCTGCCTCTTTTTTCGATCAACCTGGAAATGCCAATCCTGGCCATCCATCATGACTATGACCCATATCTAAAGTTCACACTTGATTTACGTTCCTCGTTCCATTGTTTTCATCCTGAACAATTTTGTATAAAAAACATCAACGTGCACGCACCCTATTAGAGCACCTCATCCCTCCAGGGAATGGAGTCTTGCGCGCCCTTTCTCTCGACCGTCTTGGCCGCGGCGTGGTTGGCGCTGCGAATGGCTTGCTCAATGTCAAAGGGCGCGCCCTCCTTGGCAGCGCGCACGACGTCGACACAGTACGAGCCGACAAAGGTGTCGCCGGCGGCGGTGGTGTCGACGACTGTGGCCTTCTCGGCGGGGACGAGGGCGTGGCTGCCGGTGGCGTTGGCGTAGAAGACACCGCGACCACCGAGGGTGATGATGACGTTCTTGACGTTCTGGTCGAGGAACCACTTGGCGACACGGTTGCAGCCTTCGGGAGTGTCGAGCTCGGACTCGGGGAGGCGGGAGAGGATGGACGCCTCTGTTTCGTTGACGACGAGGTGGGCGAGGCCGTCGTAGGCTTCAGCGGGGAGGGGTTGGGCCGGGGCTGGGTTGAGGAGGACAGGGACGCCAGCCGTCTTGGCGGTCTGGAGGGCAGCGAGGACTGTAGGCAGAGGAATCTCGAGCTGCATCACGAGCAGGTCCGGGGGCGTGGTCTGGGGGAGGGCGGAGAGGGAGGTGATGGCGGGGGCGTGGTTGGCGCCGGGGGACAGAATGATGCGGTTCTGGCCCGTGGGCTCGTCGACAATGATGATGGCCGTGCCGGTGGCGGCCGTGTCTTTCGTGATCTGGGACGTGTCGATGCCGTGGGCGGCAAGGTTTGAGAGAAGGAGGGAACCGTGGGAGTCGTCACCAACAGCGCCAGCCATGGACACGATGGCGGCGGTGGACTCCGAGTTGGTGGCGTGATCGCGGGCCCGCGAGAGCTTCGCACAGGCGACGGCCTGGTTGGCGCCCTTCCCACCGGGCGAAACGGCGAAGGCGTTGGAGGTCATCGTCTCGCCGGGAAGAGGGTGATGGGGGACGTAGGAGGTAAGGTCGATGTTGAGGGAACCGAGAACGGTAATCTTGGGCAAGGTTGAGGACGCCATGGCGGAAGTTTGGGAGGGGGGCGAGTATTCGGGCTGCGCGAGGTATTGTGGTTCTGTTTCGCAAGTATAAGACAAGGTTGGCAAGGAGAGCGAAGGGAAGAAGGAGAGAACTCGAGAAGAGAAAGTCGCAATAATGGTTGTGTACAGCTGCCGGAGTTGGAAGAAAAATTATGAATTAGGCCGTCCAAGGTGCAAGGCGGAGGACGGAGGGGTCCGGTGACGATGAGGGAGGGGCAGTAGCAAGTCAGGTACCGGGAAGCGGCGTTAGTGCATTGCACTGCGGGGTTCGAGCTGGAGCTGTTCCTGCCTGCTAACCTGCCTCCTGCCCTACCTGTTCACGGTACCCACCTCCTCCTACCTGCCTACCTTGGGCAGGCGCGTCTGGCCTGGCCCCGAGGTACTTGCTGTAAGTCTAGGCAAGGACGACCCCAAACCGCGTAGCAGCAAGCACCAACGGATGGATGGCGCGATTGGCAATTGGGCCTTGGAAGATCTTTAGAAGAAGAGAAGGCTCTGCTGGCTGGCTGCCAAGGCTACGCTTTTGACATGACATTCCTACCGATGCACAGCTCCGAGCCAGGAGAAGCCTCCCTCCCTACTGTTGAGGTCCGAGCCTTCCGCACAGCACTACATCCTCTCCAAAAGGATGCCATGAGACGTGAGACAGTCTCGCCGCCGAAATGGCAGTGCCATTTTGCTCGACTCGCTCAGGAGAGACGACTACACCTCCCTGGCCCAACCACGTCGGCGCGATGGTTACAATGACAGAGTCGACCAAATGGTGACTGGTAGGTGCTAACAGCGAGTTAATGACCTGGCCGCCGCCCTCAATCATGACGCTGCCTAGGCCCTCGCGGTGAAGCGCCGCCAGGATATCCCGCCACGCAAACCGACCGCTGCCCGCCGCGTCCATCTGCACCGTGATGAACTTGCCGCCGTGCTGCTCGAGCAACCCCCGTCTTGCAGGGTCGACGTCCCATCTCGAGGTGATGACGTACGGCGCGAGTCCCAGGCCCGCTCGCGCGACCTCGAGCACCTTGCTCCGCGCTGACACCTCCCACCGGCAGCTCGGGTCGATAATTATAGGACGCGGCTGCTTCTTGAGGCCGACGCCCTCGATGCGGCAGTTGAGCGCCGGGTCATCGGCGACGACGGTGCCGACACCCACGCAGATGGCATCGTGGCGGCTGCGCAGGTAGTGCGTCATGGCTTTGGACTCGGACCCTGAAAGCCGCGTGCGCGTGCCCGGTGCCAGCGACAGCGACGAGTCGAGTGACGTGGCAAAGGTGAGCGTCACGAAGGGACGTGATTCTGATGTCGCTAGTGCGATTGCCTGCTTCGAGGGCAGCTGTGCTTCGAGCCTAGCCGCATCGGCAGCGGGGAATCGGAGGCGTTCAGCCATGGTGAGGGGCAGGATCAAAGTGGAAGAACAGGTCGCCGGGTGAATATTGAAGTCGACGCAGGCTCGCGGCTGGGTAGAAGGAGGAGGACACCATGCAGCATGAAGGACGACCCTGTGTCAAGCAAGACCCTGCAGAGTGCCACATGGTGGGGGCGCAGATCACAGTCCCACCCCAGCGCCAATGGATGTTGCATTCGTTAATGTGAGGCAGATAAAGCACCTGAAGATTAAGAACCTTACGCAAGTATGGCATAATCGTCGAATCCTAGAGACGCTGGTCTCTAGTGTGCGTCCTGTCTTGTCCTCTTTTTTTGTTTTTATAGATGGTATAGAGCTGAGATACCCCTCAGTAGGTACCTCGTGGCCTCGGCCTTGATCTCAGATGTACCACCGACGTCGCATGATCAATGCAGCCCTGGAGCGGCTGAAGACGACATGCATATAATCAGAGCGAGCCGCGGTGATTTGGTCTTCAAGCAGAATCGCAGAGTGTGCATTCCCTTCGCACTCTTCTCTGCGCTAGCCAATCTGGCACTTTGCTTCGTAACCCAGAGATCTGAATATGGATGTGTTCGGCACGGTGGTCAACGTCACCACGCTGGTCGGCCAGATCGTCATCATCTACCGTCATGTCGCTGCGATGCAGTCCTTTGGCGATGCTGCCGGTATGTACTCGGCTAGTTCCAAGCTGCCTTTATGTCTTTCGCAACGTGGCTCCGTATGTTTACCCAGCAGTCACTGACATCTTGCAGAAGGTGTTACTGCGAAGATTTCCTTCGAATATTTTCGCTTCGAGACCTGGGCTGAGCAAAGCGGCTATCTTGAAATTAAGGACCGAGATGGTCTGACAAGCGAAGCGGCTCAGTCGGCTCAGTCCAACACAGGCTCACATTACCTGCTTCAAACAGCAGCCAAGGCTCACGAGATTGTGGCACAAATACAGAACGTCTTGGCTGCGACTAGGCTATTATTGGAGAAGAATCAAATCTCAGACAAGCTCACCGATGCGGCAGGCAGCACCAGTTTGCAGCCGGACCTCTCAGTAACACAGCCGTCTATCATCGCAAAGACCACAGCACGCCAGCAGTTCCTCTCGCTCCCTTCGTCAGTGAGCTCCATGCCTGCCATTGAACGAGCCACTGCCGCGTCGAGCAAGCTGAAGTTGCGTCTGGGCAAAGAGACGGGAAGGCTCCGAAAGCTGCGCTTCAGTTGGGGGTTGTTTGGCGAGGATAGCGACATGGCCAAACTCGAAGACCTGGTCCAACAATTGAGATACTGGAATGATGGCCTGCGTGATATCTTGCCTATACAGCACCAGCTGTCCCATGGCATGATGACACAAGTCAGGGTTTTGGGTCATTTGAACAACCATCAAGCGCTCGAACGTGTTGGGAATGCATCGCGAAGCATCAGCGGCACAGTGTATCAAGATATATACGCTTCTTGTAACATGAAGAGAGACAAGCTTAACACAGGACCGCAATTTAACAGTCACATCAAGGCGGACTCCGGGCCGTTGGATGTCACAAGGTTGCCGCAGCTCAGTGGAAGTAGTTCAGCTAGTATTGAGTATCGCCTCACGAGCCTTCATTCCGGTAGGTTACTTGAATGGAATCTAATAGGATGCATTTATATGCTAACAACCTCGCTTAACTCAGGTCAAGGAATGGAGTCAGAGGCCACACGAGTGGTTGTTGAGATTGTCGACTTCAGCGCCATCTCGCACCAAGACTCACTAGAGATCCTCAACACCCGGATCGGTCGCCTCAGCCATCTTCTTAGGGCCGCCGCACGTCCGAGCAATTTATACTTGCCCACGTGCGAGGGGTATGTCCGCGCCAGCGCCTCGAAATTCTTCATTCTCTACCGACCTCCCGAACAAGCAGATCCGTTTAAACAGCCCAGGACTTTACTATGCCTACTTCCTCGCCACCCAAACGCGCCAAAGCGGCCTCCCAGAATGCCGATCTTGCCTTCGCTCGAAGAGAGATACTCCCTTGCCAAGCAACTGGCAGAGGGTCTTCTCAGGCTCCATAGCATCAGCTGGTTGCATAAGTGCTTCAATAGTAACAATATTCTGTTTTTCCACAGTCCGGACGGCCTGAGCATCTCTCATCCTGTCCTTGTAGGATTTGGTCTGGGCCGAACGTCAGACAAAACTTCCGAAACTATCGACGTCCGCCAGCTTGGCAGTCATTTTGATCTCTATCAACACCCGGAGCTCCGTGCTGACGCACACAAGCGGTACAAGAAACGCCATGACATCTACTCCCTGGGTCTCGTTTTGTTCGAGATTGGCATATGGCAGAGCATATTCTACTTCAAGAAGGACAATCAAGACGCACAAGACTTCAGGAGGACCATCAGAAATGCCTGCGAGAGTCACCTAGCACACTTCATGGGCAAGGCGTATCAGCGAGCCGTGTTGCAATGTTTGGACGAAGACGACATGTGGAAGGAGGCAGAGGGCGATGATGATGATGATGATTCTTCGGAAATACATGAGGTCTTCTTCTGGAAGGTCGTGCGAGAATTAGGGGGCGTACAGTAGATAAAGTAATAAATTGTCTTTTGTGCGAGACAATTTACGTATTTTCATGGTTCCTTGGCCTTCGAAACCCCTCCTCCTGCACCTGTTTCTATGAGCGCTTCAACGAGAGCGCTGTTGTCGCCCTTCTTAGCTCTATCCAGAGGACTCCGCCCACCAACGAAAGCCACGTCATGTATCCCCTTTAAAGACGCAAGAATCCTGGTCGACTCGACGCATTCGGCCTCAACAGCAAGCAGAAGAATCCGGGAAGCAAGATTGAGATCCTGTAGCATCTCGACGTCGAGAAGAGCCTCGATGACATTCGATAGTACACAATCTTCGGGGTTTGAAGAAGCTTCCGCCAGCAAAGATAGTAGGTCTTCCGAATCAAGATCTCTTAAACCTACCTGAGTCGTTTCCAGAAACTTAAGGATATCTGTGCTTCCTCCTCGGCATATCAGGCGCCACAGTGTAATCTGGTTCGCGTCATGAACGAGCCATTCTTCGAACTTGGGGAACAGATACTCAAACAACTCCGTCTTCCCAGCCAACGCTGCCGTGCACAGCGCGTTGTACCCGTCCGAAGACGATGCCGAAACGTCCGCGCCATGATATAGCAGCATCGCGGCGATGGACTTGCTTGATGCCAGCAAAAGCGCCGTTTTCCCACGAGCCTGAATAGTATTAATGTCACACCTCCCGGTTTCCAGAAGCTTCCGCACGATGTCTTCAGACGTCTGGACCGCTACGTGCAAGGCATTTGTCATACTGAGAGACATTGTTGAAGGCGACGCCCCGGCGTCGAGCAAGGCCTGCGCGACGGTGACGTGTTTTTCACTGCAAGCCAGATGCAGCGGAGTGATGCCATAATCGTTCTTCGCGCGCACGCTTGCGCCTTGCCTCAGCAGCTCTTTTACTGCCGTCTCGTGGCCTTTGGATGAGGCCCAGTGAAGCGGCGTGTTCCCGTTGCCGTCCTGGTTCTCGGTGCTGATGACTCCACGGAGCTCCCGGATGATCTCGGCGCGTCCCTGCAGCGCGGCTAGGTGAAGAGGGGTCTGGCCGTACTGGGTCCTTTTGTGTAGCGAGAAACCCCCTTCGGCCAACATATTGAAGATTGTAACGTTGCCTACCTCGGCGGCGAGGTGGATAGGGGTCACACGGCTGACCTCATTTGCCAAGCTCCTGTCCTCGCATTGTTCCAGGAACGCCTCGACGCAGTCTACGTATTCTTTACGAGTTACTTCCAAGAGAAACTCCAGTTTGTCCTTCGGGTTGAGCTTGTCGATGGATTGACCGAGCTTCACCAGCTCTCTCGTAAGAGCGGCGTTGTTTGTTCCCACAACCATCTCTAGAATCTCGCAATCCTGTTGGGTCCCAGAAAGCTTTGCACCGTGAGAGACGAGGATGCTAACGATCTCGGCGCTGCCACGGCTGATGGCTTCCCTGAGGCGACCGGTAGTCACCTCGGCTCCACGAGAGCATAAAAGTTGGACGCTTTCAACATGTCGTCCCTGGATGGCAGCCTTCAGGCTCGTCGCTTCGTAAACGTCGCTGGCGTGTATGTCTGCTCCTTGGTCCAGGAGCCAGGATATGACATCTGTGTGACCGCCGAGAGCAGCACGAATGAGAGGTGTCGTTCCATCCTCTGATGCTGCGAATATGTCACAACCCCCGGCACGCAGTACCTTCAACGTCTCGAGGTGACCATTTCCGGCAGAGTGCATTGCGGCCGTGGCGCCCGCCTCATCCCGAGTGTTTGGGTCCATCCCGAGGTCGAAAAGAAGCTGCAGGATCTCTGGGCTCTCATCCTGTGCTGTTATGTGAACCAAATCTCGCCGAAGCCTCCTCTGGCGGAGGACGATGTCTGTGGTGGCGCCAGCATCGAGCAGGACCTTGACTACCTCTAGTTTCTGGCCTTGGATTGCCGCGAAGAGCGGCGTGCCGCCGCCCATTGAGTCTTTCACGTTCACTTCGGCGCCGGCATCAAGTAGGTCCTTGGCAATGTGGACATGTCCAAAGGACGCGGCGAGATGCAGTGGCGTGGCGCCGTTGTGGTCAATTGCATCGTTGGGGCTCACGCCATGGTCGAGCAGATACCGAGCTGCCTTTTCGTCGCCCTGGTATGCGGATACCAGGAGGAAGTTGCCTGCGCGAGTTTCATCGTCCAGCAAAAAGTCGATCGAGTCCTCGAAGACATCCATTATTTCAGCCTGATCATCATATCGCAAGGCTTTCCTGAAGCCCGCCCAGATGGTTCCAGACGAAGAGGCCCCGACAAGATACGCAGCTGTCATGACGCTGCCAAAGGCTACTGCCACGTCCAAACCCGTCTGTTTTTCGTTCGACTCGACTTCGGGGGACACACCAGCCGTCACAAGCATTATGGCAACGCTCACGGAGTTTGACTTGGCCGCCTCATGCAGGGCGGTCTCCCCTTTGGAATTCTTTGAGTGCGGGCTTGATCCGGATTGTAAGAGCAATTCAACGATATCATCGTGGCCGTGTCTTGAGGCGAAATGTAAAGCTGTGTTGCCATCTTTGTCTCGTCGTAGCTCTCTTCGGCGTGGGTCGATCCAGTCTTTGACGATGTCGATATCTCCATTGGCTGCAGCCTCAAAAATCGTCGGGAAGAAAATGGATTGTGACATTATCAAGAGTGAGTCGTGATGCTCAGGGATTCAATTGAGTGAGCTATTTCACAGAAAGAACATGCACCACGATGGCATCTTAGCAAAAGTCGCATCGTATCAAGCTATGGAGCACATTTTCCACTTTGAAATGCATCTAGAGACGTGACTGCAAGGCTATGTTGATGGTCCCGAAGCTGAAAAACCATCACATTGGGCAGGCGTTGCATTGCATGAGTGCTGATACTGGTGGCGTCCAATACTCCCCCGTCTTTGCACTCATCGCCCGTGTGATCATTCAGCTGCGGACTCGCTCGGATACTCGGCGCGCCCCCGTTTGAGACGCGATCTGTTTCCGCGTCAATTATCGCCTGCTGCAGCGGTGTCTTTGTTTGTCGTTCAAAGACCATCGATGAAGTCTGTATTCATTGTCATGACTATTGCTGAGCCGACTCGGAATCCAATGTGTGAACTCTATCAGGAGCAACAACTACAGCAACTTTCGAACTGAGCCTCCATTAACCATGGAGGATGCGCAAGAAGCTCAGGTTACTTTCCTGGATGATTTGTTCAGCTCGAAATTCGCGATACAGGACGTTGTAGAGGACGACTTCTTTTCCTCAGAGGAACGCGAAATCGACACTACGCCTCCCGAAGAAAGTGACAGACAGAGTTCTGAGGATGATCTCGCCGAGCTCCTCGAACTCATCAACAGCATCAAGCTTCTACCGGGATCCTCAAAGATCAGCTATGCAACAGCGGGCATGTTCAATGGCGTCAACAGCCATCCCATCGACACGGGGGCCTTCTTTCAAGTACGAAAGCTAGATCAGCCCGGACATAACAGGCAGATAGTGGCCAAGTATCCCAGGCTCGACCCTACGCGGGAAGGCGGCGGCATTTCACGCAAGAACATCGAGGCCATCAAGCTGGAGATCCAAGCGCTCTCGCACCAGCCGATTCTTGATCATCCCAACGTTGTAGATCTACTGGGCTTCTCGTGGGCAAGGATGAGTGCCGTCGAAGAACGCAGTCAGATTGTACCGGTGTTACTACTCGAGTTTGCATCCCATGGCACCTTGCGAGACTACCTGTGCGATAACACAACCTCGCCGGCAGAGCGACTTCGGCTGGGAAAAGGTCTAGGGGAAGGACTTGACGCGCTGCACAAGTCGGGGATTGTCCACGGAGACCTCAAGCTGGACAACGCTCTAGTTTTCGACCATCCGGATGGCGGCGTCGTAGCGAAGCTAGCAGACTTCGGATCTGCCGTCCAGCTTCTGGAGGGCGGTTACCAGTACAGAGGCGGTACCCCTCCCTGGACTGCCCCGGAGTGGCGCAAGAGTATTGAGCCTTGGGAGCAGCATGCTGCCGACATTTACTCGTTTGGCCTTCTGATCTGGACGTTGTGCCTCGAAGGTAGGAACCCCTTTTCTGGCCTGTCCGCCAACGAAATAGAAGATCGAAAAACGCGCGATGTGACCGAGAGCGATGCTGTCAAGTCTGTCGCCGACCACCACGAGTTTTTTCGACATGCCGTGGAGATTTCGACTGAGCTGGAGCAATTCGAGCTCTACCTCACGTCCGTGATCTGCCCGCGCAAAGCCTTCAGATACACATTAAGATTCGATACCCACCAGCGGGACCTGGGCGCCGCGTTATCAGCCCTTTCAGTCGATGACTTTTACAGGTCAGTCCTCGACATCCTACTAACGGAATACGCTTGAATTTACATACTGACCTTTCATGGCTAGTGCAAACGAAGACCAGGATGAGTCGGCTTCGAAAGAGTCACCTCTGATGTTGAAGGAATACAAGGTCTGTTATCTACTTACACAGGACGAAGAAATTGGGCGCATAGGCTGATGTGACGCAGAGTATCAATACATACACCAAACTCACCGATATGCCAGAACAGGTACGGCAGTGTCTTTTCCGTAGTTTCACAGCTGCGGTCAACGAGAGTCAGGCGGCCCAGCTCGAAAAGGCTGGGATGTGCTTCCAATTAGGACTGGCCTGCCTAGATGGGTTCACGAGCTACTGGAGCATTCCTGCGGCCCTGAACTGGCTTGAGAAGGCGGCCACGCTGGGGTCAGAGGCCGCGCGTGGTGTGATCTATCGCATTTTCTGTGCCACTGCACGATCCAAGCTTGAGCAGGATCCAGAACTAGCCAGTCGTTTGCGAGGCTTCTTGGCCGCCGCGACTGCCATGGGCTCCAGCAGTGCCAGACAAAGTCTGTGCGAGCTTGATGTAGAGGCTGCTCGCGTTTCCACGGAAGCCTTCAAGGGTCGCTTTCTCCCAGAAGGCATGGGCGCGGTTTCCATGCGACTTGACAAGGAGGTCCTCGAAGCTGTCATCCATCCGCGCTGGCAGGAGGGCCTTTCTCCGGGTCAGAAAACCAAGTTTCAGGACCAGCGATCAAGAACATACCTCAACCGGAAGAAGGGAAGCATTCTGCATTTCGCCAGCGCGTATGGTGTGGACAGAGATGGTTTCGAGGGATTCCTTGACTTGGAGAAACCTGATGTAAACGCGAAGGATGCTGATGGAAACACGCCGCTGCTGATGGCGATGCGCGCAGGGCATGCACACCTGGCACTGGCACTACTTCGTTACGGAGCTGATCCTAACGCTTCGAATAATCTGGGACAGAGGGCCTGTCATTGGGCTATCCATGTCGATGACCAAGGATTACTGGAAGAACTCATCTCCGTCATGGTTAGTAAAGGCGCAGATCTCGAGGCCGTTGCCAAGCGAACAGATGTCAGCGATGGCCAAGTCTACAGACAGGAGCAGTACGAGGGCACACCCCTATTCTGGGCTGTTGTTGAAGGCAGGGACGATGTCATCTCGGCCTTGCTCAAGAACGGAGCTTGCCCTACCACTCCCGGCACGTACATGAGTCCCTTTGATCTTGCTGTGGGGTACAATGCCTGGCGAACCATCAGGCTCTTTTCTCGGCACGCTCAACATCCCATCACATCGCGGATTGTCGGGCCTACCCGGAGTGAGAATATAGGTGGCTCTCTTGATATAATTACAGAGGACTGGGTCTCTTTCGCCATGTGCTGCTTCCCGCGCCATTACCACATGATGAGGCATGGTCACTGTTATGGGGATGCGCTCAAACTCACCTTGGTGGAACTAAAGAGAGCCAAGCTTCTCGAAAACGACGTACTTGGACCACTTCGCAAAGCCCTTCAGAGTGGAGGACCGATGGTAGACGACTTATTGTGGTATCAGAGCTGCAAAATGAGGCCCGTCTCGTCATGGGATCTTGCCGCAATGTTCATTGACGAGGCCTCTCACATCAGCCCGGATGCGGCGTCGATCCTGCTGGACGGGATGGCTGCCGATGAGGGAAACGGCCCCTTGCCAGATCTGACTCCTCTCCTCTTCACATACCCCAGCTCTCACCGTGCCGAGGTTGGAATATTTTCGAGATTATTGGATTTGATCAATCCGGCGTCAGTCGACATTCCAGATGTGCATGGAGTAACATCGTACCGTAATGTTACCCCCTTCATGCTGGCAGTCCTTGGTGGCGCCTTTGAGTTCGCGACGGAGCTTTTGGCAAGAGGAGCAGACCCGAACTTCGAGACTGCTCAAGTCAACACGTCTGGAACAGCGTCGGTCAAAGTCAACATCCTCCACCTTCTGATCTTGGTAAACGAGGATACGTCTCTGGCTGGACTCCGATATCTACTTGAGCCGCAACATCCCTTTCACGACCGCAAGCCGGACTTTGTTGTTTGTAAAGAACTGGGCTTGACAGCGCTTACATATGCCGCGAGATGGGGGAACACAATCTTGTTCAATTACCTTTTCAATCATTTCCACTCCAGCGAAGCGCTGGATATGCGGGGGCTCAACTACGGTGACACGGCGCTACACACAGCCGCCATTCATGGCAACTACGATGTGGCTGTGGCCCTCGTCAACCGAGGCGCGAAAATCAACGTCCTTGCACATACGGAGGACGGGAAGCTCATGTCGCCACTGGACTTTTGCTACGATACGGACACTTACAGCACAAATGTCCCCCGCACAAGCAGACATTGGGAAGGTCTCTGGGTCGCGCGGCTTCGTACAGCCAAGTTCCTTGCTGACAGGGGCGGAAGGATGCTGGTACGCCATGCCATGCCCATTGCCTTCCATTTCCTGGTACACGCCTGCTCGGGAAACTGGCCAAGGCTGTTCGCGGAAGCGTTTGAGCAGACTCCCGAAGACCTCAAAACGCAGGAGTACCTGGACACATTGCTGTTCCGAGCTGCCGACTCTGGCAGCGAGGACGTCGTGAGTCTCCTTATCGACGCCGGAGCCTGCGTCAATGCCCGGTCGGCGCGTGGACAGACGCCGCTCCATCGGGCGGCCCAGCGTGGGTACATGTATGTTGCCAGGGTGCTCGTCCAGCGCGGTGCGGACGTGAGGCTCCGTGACGACAAGAGCCGGACAGCCGCTGTGCAGGCCTTCACCCACGATCACGACAGCTTAGTCATGTTTCTCCTGGCTCAAGGGTCGCCTCGGGACCTTCCGACCATGACCGAGGTGCCATACACTGTGGATTATCTGGATCGACGGACGAACACGACTTCTGCACAGTCGATCATCGCTACAGTATGCTTCTTGCATCTGCCCATGCCAGAGGAACCGGGGGCGAGTGCAGAGGAAACTGACAGAACGAGCTACTGGGTGCTGAGGGTGCGCCGACCAGTTGAGGGCGGTGATGACAAGAGTCCTTCGTCGGTCGTGAAGAGTAGCAAAGAGAACGAGAGGTTGCTGATCAATATGAGAGGCGAAGGTTTTCAGGCGGCCTGGAAAGCGGCGCAAGAGCGGGCTAACGAGAGCGGACCAGCACCGAGAAGGAACGAGCAGGATGATACTTCCGACAAGTATTAGCGAGAGGAAGTCACGTTGTAGGTACCTAGTTGGAACACTGCAGATCCAAACTGGTCAACCGCCAATTTATTTCATGACGAATTCTCAGCTTTGTTTTGTTGACTTGCATCAAGGCAAGTAGGCAGCTTCCCCCCCCC